CTAAACAAGACGATTATCACCGCTGAAACTTAACCTAAACCGTAGATCGGTTAATTTTCTTTAAACAAACTCAGTGTTAAATCTCCCAAGCTATCTAGAAAAGAATACAAAGATGTATCGATGTCAGTGGTTTGAAACAAATCCCCCAACAGACTACCGCCCTCTCTCTATCGACTCGTATTTCTCCGCGCCTAATCTCCTTGGTCCAACTGTAGGAGATATTCTAATCCTGTCAATTTCCACCTTCTTCTCTCTTTTCTGGCCCGAGATGAGCAAACTTCCACCGAATAGCAACAAATAAGAGTGTATAAAAGAGACAATAAACACAGAAAAACAAAAAAAAAGGTAAACGGAGACATGATCCTCAAGGATAAAAAGACGTATTTTTAATTGGGGTCGCCACTCGCATCTCGTACAACTGGGCAGGTTTTTTGGTGAGTTGAAGCTTTTTCAAACTTTCTAGTTCACCCAACGACCACATCAAGTTACTCTCGGTCGTCCACCGAAGAAAGTTCTTTATAAGTTCTATACCTCATCTTTTTACCTCTCTTTTTGTGTGTGTGATCATGAGCAAGTTTCTTGCCAAAATGCTGCCTCATATAAGGCCTCCATGACGTAAACATGCCATTTAAATCATGGTTTTGTTAAACAAGTTAAAAAGTTTACGTCACGATTTATTCAACTCTACATTATCAAATGGAGGGGGGGGTGGTTAAATGTAATTAGTTGCCTTGTAAGCGTTTGGATTTGAGTTGACAACAAGAATCATATGCATGGAATATTAAAGGACTCTGCTCGAACAAACAATAAGACAGGTAAACAGCGAAACTATTACTCTGAAAGTTTGTGCTCTTACTCCCTCCAAATTAGTTCAGATTACTTTTTCTTTTACCATACCTTACTTGCCCATAAACATAGTAAGAAGCATTCTTATCAAAATAGGTTTTTATCTAGTTATCTTAATTTTTATAAAACCATACTTCCTCACACCCCACATGACGTACAAATGTATCATTTAATGCTCTTTTGGTTAAAAGTGTAAAGCCTAATATTTTATTGACAAGTGATTCCTTAAACTGAAAAAAGGTTCCTTTGTTTTTGTCTGTGCTTGGATATAAAGGAGATTGAAGGTATTGAAAACAAAAGTATTTAAAAAAAAAAAAAAACTTTAGTTTTGATAATTCAGTAAAAAAATTCACCACAGCAAGTTTCGTTTGAGAAACTAATCAGTTTGCAATAAAAGTGTATTTGAGTATAAAATGAAATTAGACAAAAATATTTTTCGCTGCCAATGAACTTCTCTCTTTTTACGGTTCGAACAGAATGAAAAAATAAGCATCAATCCTCACTTTTTTCGTGAGATAGACGAGCGAAAGAAAGTCTACCACACTTAAATAAAGTTACCGGGTGAAAATTGGCAGTATCCTATTCTAATCACAGTAACACACACGATATCTATATATCGTATAGTCAAGATTATGAAGCTAATATTGTAAGCGCGGCACAATACGATTGCAAGAATTTTCAGGTATTTCAAAGGGAAAGCGATATGATAATTTGTCGGACTCAATCACTCAATTTATCGGCGTTTTTCTCCATTTACGCGTCGTAATAACAATAATTGGACATTGATCGGAGGGAATTCGACCATTATAGTTTTTGTTTTCCGCTGAAATGGCAACAACCGAGTACGACGCGATTCGAACCATTTAGCAGCCATTTAGGAAGGTAATAACGGGTTTACAAATGCAAACAAAGGGAAGAGAGAAAATCATAAAAGAAAATGATGTTGAAATATTAATTCTCAAGAGAGAGTTTTGAAATGGAAGTCGAGCTTTCTTTGCGTTGGAAGAAAACGCGCGGTGTAATGTTTCGCCGGCGATGTCGGCTGGGTTGATTAACTCATGAATATTCATGTCAGGAAGTATGATGAATTCCGATACAAGTATGAGTTTTATCGATTTTTGTCGAGGTATATCACTATTTGAGGTGTATGGAAAGAAGAGTGTCGTAGTTCCGCTTCGAGTGTCGGATAACGGGTTGAAACAATTGGAGGACGACAAAATGTAGGCTATAATATGGCGTTCTTCAATAATCGTTTGCTGTAAAAAGTTCACAAGATACGTATATCAAGGGTGTGTTTTTAAATGGTATCCCTGTACATATCTACATTAAGGGGATGTTAGGAGGCAGAATATTTCTACATTAGCAATCAACAATATTCCTATATATTTAGTTTTTTCCTTTTCATTTCAACCATTCGCTGGCTGCTTACATACATTCTAGGTACATTCTAGATCTGCCCCTCTCTCTTCGTCTCTCTGCATGTCTATCCATTCTTTATCTCATGTCTTTCAAACCTTTCCTTTCATATGTCTCTCTCCATCTTTACACCTCGTTTTATTATTTACTCAGCGCCTCTCTCACTTCGGGGTTAAAACCCTCCAACTTTATTTCCCGTCTTTATTTTTCCTATTCCATCTCCTCGAATCCTTGGCTTTTTCATCGCTCGGCCTAAATATGAAATTGGCATAATTAGATAAAAGCACACCTAGCCGAGTAGAGCCCGTGAAATACTAAACTCTAAACATTCTCGCTCTCACCATCACTCAAAAGGTGCACATCTTCACTTTCACCAACATCATCATCATCTTCTCCTCTCCCTCCCTGTTCCCTCAACTTGTTGGCCAAACGGAGGGGAGATGGGACGGAGCTACATGTATAGAGGGAGTGAAAAGGCGAAGTTGAAATTGAGGAGAGATAGATATAGCGAGAAAGAACGGAATGGGATATAACAATGTCCGAATAAGTCTCACGTTGCGAAACTAAATAAGGAGAGGCGAGGGGTCCTTTTTATTCATTCAATCTTCAATTTTTTGACGAAGAAAGACGATGGAAATGCATACGAACTGCTCAAAATTTCATTCACATTTTATTTCCCTCGTCCTTTTCCCTTTTTACCTGTCTAAGTAAGACACGAAGACGGAATGCTATTTTGAAATTATTTTAAAAGAAAAAAATATTTCAGAATATATTGGATTCTGGAAATTACGAAATGATTACAGAGCATACAAGTTATAATCTATAGTGATATCTTACACGTTAAGATATAACTCAATCGTCGTTTTATTTTTGGTGGATAGTTTATTAATCGATAATGATGACAAAAGACTGTTAGTAGTAGTTTTCTACACGTCCATAATTATGATAAAATATGAATATTCAAGTTTACACGAGCTGAACAATTAGAAAGAGAGTTTGTCGAAATTCAATCATGAATTTAGTTTAATCGTACGCATTACGGTAAATTCAAATCAGAATACACGTTGAAGATATTGCATAAATGCATTTCTAAGAGAACAGCTAACTTTGTATGCCAGGCTACTTGTTAAAATAATAGGAATGTTTATTAAATATATCACAGTCAATCGTCAACATATCTTCCAATCATGATTACGATGTATAAACAGATACTAGAATCATTATGCAATTAAAGAGGAAAGAATATAGCGAATTGATAATGTAAATAAATATAAATATAATACCAATGTAGAATTCACAAACACTATATTTGAGAAAAGAGAGATAAGTTTTGTGTTAAAATTATAATGTTAACACGCAGCTGTTATAAACTAGTATATTTTCTATTACTTCAACTGCTAGCATTTTTATAATGATTGTTATTAATAGTATTTCCATTAGTATTATTAGGCCTAATATACGAATGGAAGGTACGTAGTAAATGACAATTTCAAATGCTAAAAGCAAGCATTCTCTGTCAACTGTATAATTTATGAACAATCCTGTATATTGTGAATTGCCCCGTATATTTCGTACGATTGCACTTCTGACAGGTTTTGCAATATACAACCCGTTTCCAGCCATGCAGCGAACGGCTCGCTTATAGAGTTAGGCAGGATTGGGGCAGGCTAAGAAGCTATCATTCCGCTCAAAACCCCGCACGCCTAATGCACCGCATCGCAACAACAGAATCCTATCTTACAGCGACCTTTTAGTACTTTCTTGGGCAAATATGGCCTAGATATTTCTTCAATACTAAATTGGGGCAGAAAAGGAGGTTTTTGTGTGTCCAAGAGGCTGCAATAGGACAAAATATACAGAGAAAGGAGTGAAAGAAGAAAGAAAATGAGAGGGAAAGGGTGCTGACGGTCTGATTATAGCTTTGCAAATGTTTAACGGGCTCACTAAAAAGTTTGTCTTTATTTTGATTTATTTTTTGAACGGCGTTCAGTTAGGCGGGCTGAAATTTAAGTAAATATTGCAACTGATGCCGCAGAAGCTGGTATAGCCAAATGGGTAACGAGTTCTCTCTTTTTGATTTCTAGTTTTTGATTTTTTCAATTCAAATAATTAAAGACAATTTCATTCTTTTGTGTTTAAGATGTTTGATTGAAGCAAACAATACACATCAATGCATTGCATACCTCGTTGGGTTATAGATTTGAGTTTACAACTGTATAACATAGCGATGTTTATAGCCATATCAATATCACAGCGAGGGGGTTAAATTTTAAGTTAATATATATATTACATTCCTTTGAAAACTAGAACAATAACATGTCATAATTAAAACATTCTTAAACTGTAAACACAAACATCATTGTGTTATAAGATGGAAAGAGTTGCCTTGTGTAGCTCCAACAGGCAAATCAATATTGAGTGAAGTTACGGAGTTGCCTGGAAGCTTTGACTGCAAGAAAATGTGTAATGGTTGATGAACGAGCAAGTGCTTTGAGATTTGGGAAAGCACGGAGGGTATGTAACTTGCTAATTCGTGTTGAAAAATATATTCCATAGAGAAAGGGGAAGGGACATAGAGGATAGAAAGAGAATATGGGGTAGAGAGAGGGAGAGCGAGAAGAGGGAGGAGAAGAAGAAAATAAGTGAGCACGGATTACGCGCGCCCGATTGGTCCCATTGACATTCCGCGCATGCTATTTGCTATTATGCCAAATAAGGCAGAATTGGGCGGAGCTTGATATGCTGATGAGGCTTCGTGTGGGGGCAGTGAGGGGCCGATGTGCACGTTGTGTATGTCGGGAAGAAGGGAGGGATGCGCCGGGTATGCATCCCCCTAGGGAGTGGAGTCCAGAGGGACGATCGCCAGCTCAGCAGCGGGCACTTGACGGGAACAAAAGGGAACCCCGGGAGATCGGGGGAAAGCAGAAGTCAGAGTAGTTGGGTTTAGGTAACACTCACCCGTACAGTAGTCAGCCTTGCACGTGAGCTCTTGGTTAGCTAGCGAGCCAGACACCGCTGTATATCTCCCTCATCATCTGATCAGCCAAAACATATACCTTTGACAATGACAGAAACACACTGACAGTGGCGATTTCAATACCTGTACCCAAAATACCCATCACAACTGACGTTCATTTATATAGTCCTTCCTTGCTCCCCAGTCAGCTTTCAAAACCATCTCCTGGTTGTCGATGGTTCTGTACAGCTTCTATTATCGCCAGTAGATAGTGATTGGACGCAACGAGGAGCACGCTGATAAGGCACTGCTACTGAATTCAGATTACCCAACAGAACTTTGCGGAGAGAATATATCAATTGTCGACACTCTAAACCACCGCGACTTTTAACCCAGCCGCACATTTCAGAGGCAAATCTTCTCTCAATCTACATTTTCCCTCTCTTATTTTACTCCATCGCATAAACCAATCTGCACGATGAAGCAACAGACCGCTCGTCCCATGAGCCAGTAATCAGACAGCCGACAAGTGGCCGTGGAGTCTCCCTGAGCAGCCCGCTCGAGACCGCATGCGAGCTTGTAAGCATCCCGTACGGACCCACTTCAAGCCCAGCCAGCTTCAGCGAACGTACCAGGGCGCATCCAACTCTCCAAACGCTCACCTCTCACCACGCCCGCGGTTCACCGAGCCAAAAGGCCGCCGTACCCCTGTGTCTCCCAGCAGACCCAATTGCTGATACAGCAAACGACACATTAGGGACCTAACACCAGCGCTTCTCGCTTCATCATCTTCTCTTCAACCAAAACCACTCGGCATTAATTGTTCAGAATAATAATCACCATCTCCCACAGCCATCATCTCTTTCTGATAAACAAGCGATTATCTGCCTCTCTTGCCCAATTCCCCCCACAATTTTAAAGGAACATTATACGCTTTGATCTGAGCTTGTTTGTCATCGTGGTTACATCGTGATACTGTTTCAGATACCCTGTTTTGATAAACACATGTTCGGGATCCAGGATTCATTGACGAGGGGTTCTACCAACCTCAAAGAGGAACCAATAATCACGGCGGAGGTCGGATCGGCTGCCGTTAGAGTCGGCTGGATGCAGCCAACCATGGTGGATCAAAGTGCCAGGTAATCAGTATTTTTCTTCTTAAAATCCTACATACTTTACTTCAAAATTACCACAGTTGTAGTGTTTACAACCCTTACTGAGACATCATGAAAACCACTGGTTATACTTGTTCCTGGGTCATCTTGATCATGTTGATCTAATTGCAACAATGAAAGCCGAACTATAAGAGTAACATTATTTACTAATTTGTAACATATACTTCTCTAACTTATACCCTAGTGTTACTTTGAAGTTTACTTAACTTTAGCTATGACGTGACTATTGTTGCAATTATATCGTTGGCCTTCTATCTAAATTGTATAAACAGAATACAACAAATATTCCAACAAATATAGCCTTTATTGTAAACGCTATACTCTGAAATTGTGTTCAATATTCAGGGCCCCCTTATTAATTTACTTGCAATAATCTAATAGAAACCACTATCATTTATGTAAAAAAACGATTAAAAACTGACCTATTTCATAATGCCAATTTTATAGGACCACGTTACTTCCAAGATGATAGTGCTGTAAGTTGTAACTAAAGTAACTAATACCTTTCACATCCATCTAAAGCATCTACTAATACTACTACTACTTCTACTTCTACCAGTCTACTTCGTACATTGATCACTATTTCAACTGATTTCTAAAAACCATTAGACCACTGTGCACGATGTTTGCTTCGAATGCAAGACCACTATTTTGATGGAACCTCTAATAACTTTCTCTTTTGTTTGTTTTGGAAGTATTTATTGGACTCTTTTTTTTACAGTTATTTTGTCTTTATGAGCCAAAAATGTAATAGAACAGTATTCTTACACATGTTTTTTATGAGAGCTGAAAATATCATAGCCCTGATAATGATATTATCTTGGAAAGAGGAGAATGAATTAAACAATAGGTCGCTATTTATGTCTGACTAAATAATGAACAAAATTAATAGGGAGCACAAAGAAAAACATTCTGAGTGAATTTTTTCGTGCAGGTAAATGACTTGTAAAAGAATGCTTATAGCAAACGTATGCAACGGTGCACGATTTTTTTTTCTCAATATATGATAAACCATAATATTCCCAAATGAATTGTATCAGTTAGTAGGATCATTCAATGAATATTCAGAACACCTATCAATTGCAATCCATATGAAATAATATTACTGGCTTGGAAAATGCTGGGATAAAAATATAACTCATCAAAATGCAATACTTTGAAAGTAAAATTAAACTTCGTTTTTTTTTTCTTTTTCCTATCACCAATCGTCACAATCATAATGAAAGACGATAAGTAGCAATGTGAAAAATAAAAGAATTCAAGACATTAGAGAGAATCGTAACACAGTACATACATAGGGGCCTTGTACTCAAGTTGTAGAACTAATAGAAACCATGAATGGCGAAAAATGGAATTTATAATGAATAGGGCTACTGCTAATGTGTCCTGACACAAGGAAGGAAAGAGGGTGAGGGAATATGCATTTTCGTTTATTTGATTTTTATCCAGTCAAGGCTAAACCTCTTAGAATTCGAGGGCAAGGCGATAGCACCCCATTTATTTTATTTATCCATCTCCCTCCATATTATACTATTTGGTGAAATTTCTTAGGCTGAAAACGCTTATATTTCCGGATGGACTGTACATGGTCTGTCAAAGAGTTGAGACAAACACATTCGTAACATTAAAAACCCACCTGTTTGGCGCGGAGAGATTTATAGCTCAACTGCCTAACGAGTTCGAAACAAAGAGCGAAGAGGGACAGGGGAGCTACTTCGACCAGGGGATCGCGGAAAACAAACCAAAACGACAAACAAACAACTTTTTATATTCATATCGAAAGTAACCCAGTTCCGAAAGAAATGAAAAATGAAAACACAAGGTGGATTGGCTATACCAGTGAATATGTGAGAAGCGTATCGTTAATATTGCGTGGTCAGTTGCTCGGGGGGGGGGGGCGGTGGCGGTGAGTAATGCGGCGGATTTACATTCGGAATTCTTTAAAATTAGCAAACACTAATTGCTGTCCAGTGTCCCATCGGTGTCTAATGTTTTAGCAGAGTAGCGATGCAAGTCATCACCGTGTATATTCTCTCTGCTCACTATTGTATTGCCTACGTATAGGACGATGCGATAGTCAATAATAATGTACAGTGTGTAAGTTGTACTAGATTCCTATGTGCTAGTACTTCTGTAGCATCGTTCGCTTTGGGCTGTCGAGATGGTATAGCCGAGAGCCCCCGTGATAGATGAGAATAGAGAAAGCCACGTCAAGAGTTCCATATTAATCAAAGCATCGATACCCAGTTGACAGCCACACATAGGCTAGATTTCTTCCATTTTGAATAGCGCTGGAGTACACCCAATATCATTCTCGTGACGGTATACATGACTATATGCAGACGGTGTTGGATATTATAGAGAAAAAAAGTTTTACGCGGGGAAAAGGAAGAGTTCAAAACGCGCAGACGGTCAGGAAAAAGTGGAAAGTGATCGGACGCAATCGGATGCTGATCTTATGTGGCAAGAGATTGATTGATAGTGGCCAAACCTTTTCTCAACTCTCACAGTAGAAAAAACAGGTGATATTGGGGAGTATCCATCCTTATTTTCCTCTGTTTGAATAGTGTCAACAGATATTACAAACAAACAAGAAAACAAAAATGCTACATGACTTGTGTGATGGTAGGTCTTTCTGAAAAGGGACAGTGATCTGGACATTATTTTTCAGTGCCATCGGCTCTTGCATTGTGGAGGTTTCCCGCCGCGAGTTGATTTCTATCAACATCCGGTATTGATCCTTGATAGTATATACTGTTTCCTATATAATATCCAGATTGGTAAGTGTTATCGCCAATTCGCTAGAAAGCTGTTAATAAATAAATCGAACTACATGTACTTTATTCGCAGAAAGCGGGCTACATTTAAATAAGTCATATTAGATTTTACGATTTTTGAATAAAGTGGCATTTTAAATATTTGATATATTTTGTTAAAACGAAGCGATAAGAGTAAGACGAATCAGGACAGGGAAAAGCCATACTCATTTCTGTCGCAATTGCACTATACCCTATTGCTGAGATTATCACCAATATCAGTTAAATTCGATGTAAAAAGACGATAAAATGATGACATATTACTTCTAAGCCTGACTGCTGTAGGCAAGGCCATGACTGAAATAAGATATCATATGATTGCATATTTCTCGTTTAATGAAAATATTAGCATTTAAACTGTTATGAAATTGTTCACATTTCACATCAAGTAAAATTGCCTGTAGTAACTTGTTTAAATCCCTTTCTTCTCAAATGTGCCAGATTTATAGAAGCGTACTTTGCAAAATATTTACATAATTTGTAACATTTACAGAAGCCATGGCTTCCGTAATGCTCTTTCTGATTATGAATATGATATTTTGAAGAGCTGTCATGTAGTTTTTGAAGAATTTGCATGTTTATGAAATTCTTAAAACTCATAAAGAGATGGGATGTATAATACTGTAATTATCCTTATCAAAACGAAACGCAATTAAAGCTCACCAACACAATTATATACATGTTCTTGTAAGTTACATAAATTATCTCTTCAATATTGTTTTAGAAAATTGTTATGCTTTGAATGCTGTGTCACAGTTTCCCCTCGTTTAAAACTTAAGACTCCTTATATACATGCACTAAACTATGTCGATTTATAGAGCACATTTAGTGGTTTTAGTACAAACCAGTTATCAGAATGCCTTATAAATATGTCCATAACCCAGATTTCTTTTTACACTGTTTACTTTTTCACATCACTCTTCAAACTGCCGATATTTGCGCTTTTGGCAGAGAGCAAATGGCCTGACAATTGAACTAGAATTTACTCAGTATTTTGCTCTAACGATTCGAACCCCTTTGTTGTGTTTCTGTTAATCGAAGTCTGCCCCTCGTCTTTATAGAACAGTACACAACGTCTAGTCAGTTCTTCACTTTCGTATTTCTCCTTGACTCCCTTTGTATAAAGGCCTGGTGTGTGGAAATACGTTAGTCTAAACTTCAATAGTGCAAGTGTGATAAACTAAGACCAGTTAAATAACGCCAAGTAATATACCTCATAAATGATGAACTTTTATACTACAGATAACATAAGAAGAACATACGAACATTTTGTTTTCAAACATGGCTCACCAGGCTTGATCACATAGGTAGTGTAGTCGTACCATAGTCAAAGGTAATAGTACTCGCCTCCTATTACGGGGACCGAGCCCCATTGCTCTTAGCTCGTCACCGGTCCACCGTCGGGCTAGAACTCGAAGCCGTTGAATAACAACAATGGCTGCAGTTTAAAAATAGTCACAAGAATAAGTTTTGTGATTCTTTGTGATACGAGTCTTTACTTTTCACGTTATTTATTTGATAAGATGTCTAATTAAAAGGAGGAAAATCATTCATTTTAATAAAATTAGTATACTGGCCTGCACATGGGTTGTTTTGGGGTCTATAATCATTCATGCATTTCTACAATAGTAATCACTGAACGTAGAAGCCAAATTACCAATCAACCGTATCTAATTACCAACCATTGGGGTTTAGAATACACCTATTTCATGTAGTTAGGGTTAATTATTATTAGATATCATAATATTTATCTACAAGTATAATGAGATTTAAATTTCTTACAATAGGATATATACTTATACTTATTCTTATACATATATAATATTCTTATGTATAGTTATATAACTCAGATTTTAGTAAGCTAATATGAAATAATAATTAAGTTGATTTATTCTAACGCAGTTATACGCAGTAGTTGACCAGCAGTGCTTTCAACCCTTGTTAACTTGTTGTAAATGTTGATAATAAAGTGAACTAAAAATATTTTTATGATTTCATTTATTCTTCATTATTCCAATTGAACTCGTAAAATTAGAAGTAATTACAGTATGTTACAACGTAGTTTTGGTGTTAGAATGAAAGAAAAAAAGCACCGGTTATAGTCAATAAATGTATTTATTTCATTTCCTCTCAATTTCATTTTCCCAGAAATTAACGTGAATAGGAAGGGTATATCAGATAGGAGCTAATGGTTACAGTATCTCTTATCATTTTTGGATATTCATGACTGATATATCATGACTAGACTATGTGGTCAGAGTGAGACATATTACCTTAAATGAAAATGTGAAGTATCTCCTCCAAAATAAACTCGGAAATCTTTATCGTGTCTAACTCTCCCATCTCAACGATAAGAGTTGGTAACACTATACCAACGAACAGGTAAGGTATCTTAGAAGACCTGAAGCAAATTATTTTTCTTCTCTTGCTTGAGCCTGATAAGAAGGAAGGCATTCCACCAATAATCAGAAGTGATCGAAATATTAACCATATAATAATATGTTTTTATCGTTTGAAGTTAAGTGATTTGGATAAATTTGGCGCTTTTACAAATACAAGTAAACTTTAATGAATATTCATGATAAGCCGACGAGGGAGATGTAAGGAAACAGTTTCCCGGCTCGCCTAGTTCTTTTGGGGATGCTTGTTGTTATGAAGTAGGCCTATCAGTAAATTTTCTTATGTGGCCTATCTCTTTAATAGTCCAATTATTGCAAACAGCTAACCATTAAAAATATTCTGTTAAAGTTTCAGGAATAATTTGATTGATCTCTTTTGTTACAGAAAATAATCATAAGGAAAACGATAGTATTCGATTAATTTCTATAATGTTCACGATGATCATGAACAATTATATTTTTAATTTTTATATTAATTTTGATACTAATAATGTGTTTGTTTTAAACCCTTTAGCCTTCTTGTTTAGCATTTGTAAGTTTTATTTATTTAGATCGACTCGACTCGAAATTATGCAATTCCATCGAAACTTATATCAAAACAAATGCATTGATAACTTTGCCAAATACTTATTCGTATCGTTAAACCAATACGTTACCGTGTTCATAATTATATTCTTCGTTATTCTGTGTCAATTCCAACAAAATTTATTATGGAATGATACAGCTTTGTATTATCTATTTGTGTTTATTATTTTGTTATTGTATATTGTTCATGTGCTTTACGTAATGCCAACAATTGAATTTCCAAATGGACCAATACAATTAATCTAAATCTGAATCTGAATTGAAGTGACAGTGTTCAGTTGATTATTGTTATTCATTGTTACCCTATGTTTTTCAATGACGTGTTTTGTATGGGAAAATAAATGTTTTTCTTGAATTATATTTTAGTGAAATTGATAGAATGAAAGGATGCATTCGTAAGCAAATTATGCACCATTTTTTTGTTAATTTCTATTCTATCCTTTTCTTTTTTAGTTCGTGTGGGATGGCCCGAGCACACTTCGAGAAACAACCCCCGAGTAATTTACGAAAGAGTAACTTCTTCCATTTCGTGATCGCGCTCTACGACCGAGCAGGTCAACCCATCGAAGTCGAGAGGACATCCTTCGTTGATTTCATCGAAAAAGAAAGGGTAAGCTGACTTTTTTTATTTTTAAAAATTATATGTCATATTTTTTATATTGAACATTGTTTAATCAATGTATCTTTTGACACCATATTTACTTTGAATATGGTATCCTAATTTTAGTCCTGAGACTCTTCAAAAGCAGCTGAAATTCAGACCTTTATTGAAACATCTATTGTATTATGCTTTTAAAATCAAGATTATCTCGAAGCTTTCATCTAACTCTAATATGATACAGTAACTTACAATTTAACATTAATTTACGAGACATTAAATAAATGGTTAATAAACATATTGTGCAAATGAACACAAAGAAGAAACACATCCATCTTTTTTATATGCAATAATCAAATGATATTGAAACAAAATTAATGCAAATACCGTATAGACATGGATTTGTCTTAGGATAAAATGATCTCTCTATTAATTAAACAATAGAATACAGTTGATTTATTCATTGTTTCGTAATATATTTACAAAATAAAAACAATAGTACACCATAGGATAGCTATTTAAACTTCGGGTTAAATATTGAATAATAGCATCGTTACAAATAAGCGAAATACATTCACAAATTATAATATTCGAGAGTATGACCGGCTGCTAAAAAGGGTAACAAAGGCCAACATTATCAACCGAGTCTTCACACCCTAATATAGATCCTCTGTTTATTGATCAGTGGGTAAAGTGAGTTAGATATATGTCTATTGATCGCAAACTGTAGTATAGCAATCAATGTGCGGTTTTTATTAGTTTAAGATAGATACATTCTTTGATGTCATGCGTAACCCATAGGGCCTTGGGTCGACATAAACAGTAACAGGGCTAAAGGAATCGTTAGTTCAGAAGGGCATGGAAAGAGGGAATAAATATAATGTTGTGATTATGAATATACTTATAAACGAATCACAAAGCATCATAACATTTAAAGAATGAGTGAATTTTAGTATGCAGTATTGGTCATTTATATATTCTATTTATTTAATCAACGTTAATTGAAAAATGTTTCAATTTCCGAGCCAAAATGCCCTTTTACTTCTCCTACGAGAGCATCATAAACGAATCATATTGAACTTATATTGAAAGATGATTTATTGAATTATAAACAAGCACTGGGCTCAAGTCAACATTTGTTTTACAATTGAACATAGTGCATGTAAATGCCCATTGAGATAAACACTACACTAATTTTCAAAAAAAAGATCTCGTACATCACAAATAAACAAACAAACTAATAAATAACGGGGTAACAGACCGCAATCAACAACCATGCAGTAAAGTAGGAAACTCTACCCCTGTCCAGAAGTTAGGTTTTCGGAATGAAAAAGAGGTCCTATTCAGAGCTTTCTTGTATTCGTGTTCATGAAGCATTCATGTGTATCGCTGTTAAGTTGAAATTAAGCTATAAATCACCTAGCTCGTTTACGTGCTAATGGGTGATAGCATGGAGTTAATGTTTCATCATTGGTACCTGTCTAGGGGTATACGTACTCTTCCTTCCCCTCCTCCAATTGTTCAAACTTCAAAGCAACCTTGGACATATTTAATGCCTCATTATAGGCACCAAATTAATTTCTGGATCACTTTTGGTTTCTATTAAAAAAAAAAGCGCCACAAGTGAAAATGGCGACTGACTGGAGATTGCCAATTTGAGTTCAAAAGTTGAGTTATATTGATGAGTCTGGTTGAAGGCTTTTGTGTGCATCTTGCTTCCGTCCTGGTATTATATACACAACAGCCCTAAGTATAATGACATACGTTATCCTCTCCTTTTATATTGTCTATTCAACCCGGCTTGAAGTTACAATTTAAACAAGTATAGAAAAAGAGAGAAAGTGTTATTGTATTCTTGTTTGCTACATGTATTGTCGACATTGCCTTTATAGGTTGACCCGTTATCTAGCATAATGATTTCAGAATCTAGGTTTACATAAATAAAGCATTGATATAAGATCCACTTGGTTCTAATTAATAATAATAAAAAAAAAACCTACAGAATAATAGATTGTGACCTTTTTGAGAGCATCATACGTTGCCGATATGACATGCTAAACAGAATTATGAAATTGAGGCGATCTGTTTAACGGATGTGTTAATATGATTATATCCATGGCTTCGAAATTGTTTAAAATTGTAAAAGTTGCACAACGTTATACTTGATGGAGAGATTTAGACGAATCTCATGTGGCTTCGAAATCTTCAGATCAAGAAAACTGATCATGATTGGTATGACCTAGCTATTGATTCTAATTTAGGAATCGTCTTGTCACTATACGTGTGTTAAAAAAAAAAAATCATTACTATGGTTATAGGAACAAACCAAATAAGTATAATCATAACTGTATGTCTCAAACAACCCAGTCATCACTGGACTTTCGATGGCTATGTATTTATTGATTTTAAACAACTCTCAACCTTTAATGTAAGTATCCCAAATTGTTCACATCTCATGTGATAAAATAAGAATGTATAATAATTTACAATGACCTGTGTTTTAGGCGTTTTCACTTTCACAATGAATCAATTTCCAAATTCAATATTTATCTTGCTGTGTTAGTCATCGTAACCTTCGTCGTGAGTTATTGTAATGATATTTACCAGTGCTTAACTTTCTTTTGTCGACGCGCCAAATATTATCTTCTCACCGCTGCTCCCCGCACTCTTTATTTGCCATCTCATCAACCCTTTAAATCCATTTGAGTGATGAGCAGCGAATTACACATGATAATCGCCATTTTCTGACAGGATACTTAATGAGTGGCGGGCTAACGGGAATATGACAGAATTAATTTATTTCAGACTTAACGCTTGTTCAATCGGGTGAGTAGGTCCTATGCAAACGACGATCGTGTATGATATGCATGCAGTGGCGAGAATGCCGAGAAGGAACTTGTGAATATTATAAGTAAACAATATTAATCTTCCATTTTTATCACAGTTGGCTCATTTTCGTCACATAAGTTATAAAACCAACATGCCATGGAAAAAGCATATCATACCATTTGTTTTAAAATCATTTAACACATTGTTTCTCGTGAATTAATATTCTTTCATGTTAACAATATATATATATTGAAATAGTATGTAGGGCTAATCACAATGTTGACAGTCTAGTAATGTTAACGTCAGTATATCGGAACAAATATAGTGTATAATAATTATGATCTCACCTTTTTCACATTTATTTCATTTCTGTCATATTTCAGTAATTAATTTGTATCAGGCTTATACTTTAAAAAAATGTATAAAGGCAAACATACAAGTAGCATCGAAATCATATATTAATTGTCTTTCCATAACTATGGCGTCAATTTATAATTCAGAAGAAAATTATGATGTTTTTTTATGATTCCAAATGGCAAGTTATATTGTTTAAAAATCAATGAATTCGTATGCATGAACACTTCACCAAATGCAAATAGTAATAGTTGATAATTTGTAATATACTTAAACACATTAGAATTAAGTTGTTTATGAAATGACAAGATTTGTTATCGAGAAAAGCAATAGTGTCGTGAAGTATTTAATTTCAAGAGATGTTTTTGTCTTCTTGCGAATGGCAGCGTTTGAGCGGAGGAGGAGGAGGAGGGGGGCTGGGGGGGGGGGGGGGGGTAGATCAGTTTCTGTATTTGATCCGAGTTGAGCAGCACACTGCTTCCCCCTTTGACCTCCCACGTCGCCAGACGGGGGCTCGAAGAATGCTTCTGATTTGAATTTGAATGCAAATGAAAATAAGAAAATAGCCATCTTTTACGAACGGAACAGAAGGTTGAGAGTGAATGAAGTAAGGTTTTAGTATTGAAAATATGTATGTTATCTAACCTGAAACAGAAAAGAAAAAAAAATCAGATCGTCAGTGAGTAGAGCGATATAATATAGTTGATGGTTAATTTATTTGGGGTAACTGGAACATGTATCCTTCTCCCTTTGTATTTAATTTTGTTACAAAGAAAAAGGAAATAAAAGTAATTGTTAATTCATTTGACTTGAAATTAAAGTTTAGTTTATTGCCTGAATCAGCCCAAAATAATTATTCCAGTCTTGAAATCATCTCGAATGCCACAAATCATATTTTTGTAAAGGTTTATTGTAAATTGACTAATACTTCGTACCTAAATCAGCTGTATATCGAGATTTGAAAAAGGAAATTTCACTCGTAAAATATTGTAGTGTATTCTCTATCAAACTTATGCTTTTTCTTAGGGGCTGACTATAAGTAAGTGGTAAATAGAAAGAGAGAGAGAGAGAGTGAGTGGTAGAAGCATTATAGCTGTGTAATGTAGGCGTGTGGGGAGGGTGTGCGTATGTGAAGTGTGTGTGCGCGTGATGTGTGTGTATGAGGGGGGGGGGGGGTGAAAATAGCGTTTCCTATCTGGTTTAGAATCGGCATCTAACCCCGATGGCTAATTGAATGAAAAACTGGAACTCCCCCTGTGGGTTTGTGATTGAAATCAACTCTAATCACATATCATTTACATGATTATGCCGGTAATATGCGCAGAGTTCTACGAGATAAATCAGTACTCGGAATATTATACGAAAGCAGCGATGATATTTTACGGGTGTGTGGAGGAGAGGTGTGGAAAGTGGAAACGTAGGCGCATGAATGCGATTTGTGATTATAATATACCTTTAATAAACACGATGAATGAAAACCTAATGTTGTCAATCTATATTATCATAAAGCCCCTTTCTGTGTTTCTGTGTCCATGTTAGTAAAGGAATGTACAATTAATCAACTGTTAATTATTGTCGAATGTTAAACTTAAGTGTAAACAAAAAAAGGATCGTTCTTTATCAATATAATTATTTTGAGTTATCGCTAGTTTCACTGCAAGTTTCAAATTTATTAACTCTGTTCATTTTTTATTAAAATAATTATCTTGTTGAATATAGACGATGATATATTATAGGGGTACATTTTATAGTGTGACATAGTTTTTAATGATATCTAGTTAAATTTGTTCATGATAGTGGTATAGGTGCCTACTTAAATAAGTTAAAATTGATATTGAGTGAACTGTAATTTGCATATTCATTCATATTCTCTGGAAGTGTTTATCTTTATTTATTGATCTTCATCGATTTTAGTTTGGCTAAATCGTACCGATCAAGCAAAGTGACGCTACTAATCATTAATTCTAATTTCTATAACATCGCTTTAGGGAAACACTTTTTGTTGTTAAGTTACAATGTATATATTTTATTTAGGTGATAAATTTAGAATACTGCATTATTGAGCAGCAATAATGTAGTTCAGACTTCAGAGAGAGAAAAAAACACATGAATATGATAAAATTTAATGGCACATTTCAAAAGGAACAAAATACTACACAATTCAAGTTGTATGAAAGCAAAATAGAATAATGTATACAATTAATGTTAAAATAAAGTAATGGAATTTGAATAAACACTGTAGCATAGACTGTCAAACAATTCTGTTTGTTTTCATAAAAACGCCATTTCTCTCATATGGAAAGTAGCTGTCAAAGATGGCGTTGTGTTAGGAGCTTATCTCAGGCACGGGGAGATTGATATTATGCAGTAAGAATTAAACAATGGCGATACAAATCTAGTCTTGAAGCTAGTTGAATAATGATCGGCAAACCGAGGAATTAGCCAACGATATTCAAGTATTCAAGTATTCTCTCTCAAGTGTTATCCTCTTTTTATATCACACCAGTAAGAGCCACTGGTTTCTTGAGAGAGAGAGAGAGAGAGAGAGAGAGAGAGAGAGAGAGAGAGGTGGGTGTTGGAGAGTAGATTCCATTAAGGTTCGGAGCGAGCGCCTCCTCCTTTTATTCCAAGAAAGAGCCTGTTTTAGACATTCAATTGTTTTGATATATTTTACCATGCAAGATGTAAACAATTACGTCTTCATCGTGTGGTATTATTGATTTTTATGGCTTGTGATATTTAATGTATAGTAGAAAATGTATGCGGCCTATAAAGTAGAGATATGAAGTCAGAAAACATGAGATATGTCTTTCCATTTCTGTATGTAAGATATAGGTCAGGCGAACCAATCAACATGGCGTCATCAAGTCTAAAGACACCAATAGTGAAAATAGATTTTATTGGTATAACATTTCTAAGGTGTATCTTGTTACTTTCGTTACTTTTTGTGTTATCATTAATGGAACATGAATAAATGAATATAATTATTTCCAAGTAGGCACATGAAATATTTGAAAACACACTAAATCAATGAATGCCTGTAATAAATTATTTGAAACATTTTCTTAATGAAATTAAGATATAAAAAAAATCACACAATACTAAATACCCAGTATAGTTGCCTACAATATCTGTTTGAAAAGTGATCAAACTCATCAAAGTAAATTAATTTGATCAATATTAAGTTTTGGCTAAAATATTGAGTATCAAATCATTTATCACTAAAATAGACAAGAAGACTGATGACTATCGACAAGCGTCGTCACAACTTCCATTTCCGTCCATAACACCATGTCATACGTCTTTTACACACGGCTGTCCACACGACAGGCAGATGCTTTTTCATTTTGGCGCTTTTTCCCATCCCTGCAGCTATAATCGTCTGTCTGCATTTCTTATCTTAAAATGAAGAAGAGAGGGCGGAGGGGATGCATTTGAATAGTATTGGCGGCAAAAGTAGACAGATAGTGGAATGTATGATAGACAGGGGGAGAGAGGGAGGGAGAGGGAGAGGGGAGGGGAAGAGAGGGGGAGATATTTTTCAGGAAGGAACGCCCGAAGCGATTGCTGTGATGTAATGTAGCCGGTGTACATGCCCGTAGGCAGTGCAACGCAGACATGTCTTACTCTATAAACTTCACCGCCGAAGCGTCGGGGCGTTCGATCTTCCGCGCTCCGCTGGCGTGCGGGCATGCGGCGAGCGGCGGAATTAACCACGCATTCTCGAACAATATTTTCTCTGGTATATAGGGAGCGTGTAATTTGGGCCGGAAGGCTTCTAGGTTACAACACAGCTGAAGGTACACAAGCCTTTAAAATATCGATAAAATTTTCCCGCCCACTTTCTCTTGGCAGTCTCACTCACATTTTCTCGTCTCGGATGGAAATAATTTGCAATGTGAGCCCTGTAAGAGATGACAGGAAGAAAAAGAAAAAAAAAACGAAAAAAAAAAACGAAGGATGGGGAAAGAGAAAAAGAAAAAAAGAAGAAAGAAAAGGTAGACGAAGTTAATAAAATCAAGAAAAATGGAGAAGAGAGAAGTGTATAATATCTTGGAATGACACAAAAGAAAAAGCCAATCGAACAAAATTAATGATGATGGATTGAAATGGACTTTTTACTCGGTGTGTTTGATACAGCACTGATTAAATTGAATGTTTGCTTCTCAAACCATTGACATATAGTTTTTAAATATAATTATATTTATATAATTAACGTTTCGTTTGTTCAAGTTTATAATTGCTTTACTTCACGTTTTTATTTTTTCAAAGTGTATACCAATTAAATACTATTGATTTAGATTTTAACTATTTTGTATGCTTATTATTAGCATTGAGTCTCATGTTTTTTAATTTCTTCAATATTTTTTATTCGGAAACGTATCATTATTCAGTATTGTATGTACTATGGATTATAGCATTATTAACGTAACAAAAATGACCGATTTGTTAATTTCTTTGTTTACATATTTGTTTCATCTACAGGAGCCAGACGCAACGAAGACAAACAATGGCATTCACTACCGTATACAAATGTTATTTCACAATGGTAAGTCACTTGATTGATTCCATCAAATCCACATATGAATATCGTATATTAAAGGAGGGGTTCATTCTCACGACCCTCAAGCCAGGGATTTGGGGTTTGAATCCCATGACTACGCTAACGTCCTTTGTGAAGACATTAATCTACATTTGCCACTCTCCACCCAGGCGTAAATGGGTACCTGGCAATTGCTGGGGCAATAATAATTGCAGGGCCCTTAGGACGAACAGCAATCATGCTGATGAGGCTTCTTAGCGTATAAAACAAAATTATTATCAACCCGGTATAAACAAAATACAATGCATTTAAAAGCGTACATCTCAACATTGGATAATCAAATGATATGTCTTAAACTACAATGCAATTTAAAGAAAACGCCATTCATTTTTAACCTTTTGTTGGAAAAGAAGAAAAGAAGTAAAAAACAAAGAGTGTCTAATCACTTATGGTCAACTCTAGCAGCAGGTAATCACAAGCAAACACGTAAATGGCTATATGGAAAATTACTTGCAGTGCATTACAAAGCACTATGCATGAATTAACCTACGTCGTTTGAACTTGAAAGTGCGTTCTGTCACTTATTATATACGATTATAACAACGCTGATTTCTGAACGCTACACCACACACCCCATCTCCCTCTCTCTCTCCATCTCTCTCTCTTTCCCGTCTAAAGAGAGATTCACTCACCTCCTTTGGCCCGATTAAGGTTTAAGACTCCCGATTAAACCCTTCGTTTGGCGCACTCAAGAGCAAAATGCGCGCGATAAAGAAAAATAGATCGAGCAGCGACTCAAAAATAAGACTTCGCTGAAGAAGAAGATGAAGGAGAAAGAGGATGAAAAAAGGGAAAAAAGAGAGGTTGGTTAGGACGATTTTAAGGTCGTTCTGGCAATCCAATAAACCTCGGGCAGCTTGCAACGGCTTATGATTCAATTTGGAAGAGAAAAGATCTACCAAGGAGCGAGCTTCCAAAATGAGATTAGAGTACATCGTACGCCGTAGATGGGTATTCAATACCAGTGGACGTGCGTACATTGCCGCTCTCCAGCTACACGCCGAAGAAACGAAGAAAGCCAATGCCCCTGCTTTTGAAACGACAATTTTATTCTTCTGCAGGCTGCTACCCTGTGATATTATTCCCCTCACATTTTCTCTATTTTTTGTACTTTAGAATAGAGTTTTGGAATGATTTGGGCAGAGATTTTATTGTTTTTTGCCTTCTGGCGTGCTGATATGAGAATCATGGCAAGGTTTAAGCGTATAATCAGAATGTTTAAATTAACTTTGTTGAATACTTCGAGTAAAAAACGATTATGTATTTTCAACATATTGAAATCTAATGAAAGTACAGGATGCATACCATGGGTTTGGATTTGTTATCATCTCAATTAGATAAAGACGTACATTTATTTTCATATGCCAAAATATACCTTTAGCAGGGAATTATTTTCCCCTCTTAGAATCTTGCTTATCACTTTTAGACGAATGTTGCAAAGAATACTCAACAAATCCTACCAAAAAACAACATCTGTTTTCTTAATTTTGTTATGCATACCTCTACATAAACGAATCAAGTGCTTCTTAAATGCTTACTGTGTGAATGCCTGAACACTGAACGTGTCGTGCATTTGGTGACATGCATGTTCAGTCGGGCCCCAAACCACAGCCCGTTAATTCATGAGATTACCAGTAGTCCAGACAGTAGTGGTAAGCTAATTCATTAGAGAGTAAAGATAGAACGTTAATCAATACTTAATGAAATGAGGACCTTGCCAGGGCTCAAAAGACCAACACAAATTTATCGAGCTAGCCACCAGTTACGGTGTGCTTGGTTTGTTATTTTCGCGTGACGCCGTTTTGTAGCTGTAGCTGTAGGTTTTAGGTTCAAATACTATTTGTCAAGACAATAGTTTATACCATTTTGAAAGAGGTTATAGATAGAATGTTAATCCATGAGAGCTTCGCCAAGGTTCAAAGACGAACGCATTTAGTTAAGGTCTAACCGAGCCACCAGTTCAGTGCATAGTGGCGTGTATCATTTCGGTGCGCGTGGCGTCTTCTTGTAGCTGTATAAGTTCTATGTTCCATTAATACTTTTCAGATAGCCTAATATTAATGCTATTTCTTTAGAGATTAAAGATAAATCGTTAATCAAAGAAACGAGGACCTTATGTTATAAAGATTCTAAGTGAAAGTATATCACACTGCAGACCAGTTACGTGTATGGTGGTGTTTGTTATGACGGTACCGGTGGCGCCATATTGTGATATAAAGAAGTTTTTCAATTTTACTCTGCAATTAAAATGTCATATTAAGTGATTTTTAATTAGTAAACCTGCTCTCTAAGGTGAATTTCATCGTATACATGTATTCAATTTTATCTCTGATATCTGATATGTCTGCTTTTCTTATACTGAAGTACGAAAATAGTAACAAAAATATGTTTTATAAGAAGACACAACAATAAACAGCATGAGATTGAGAACGGTTTAAGTCTGAACATTCCCTTTCTCTGTATCATAGAATACTTATAAAGAAATCTGTTATTTCATCTCAACATATTGTTATTACAAAGAATTCAGGCAATGTAATAAGTTTACAGATTTCAGACGCGTGGGTTTTATTTATCTGGTGTAGATAAAGACACACTCTTCTCCTATTTAATACAAAAATGTTTGGCGTGATAACAGTTAATCAAGACAAACTTTTTGATTACTTTAAAAGTTAAGGGGTTGAAGTTTGGTATATCATCTGGCACTTATACATACATTTAAAAGAAAAAAAGATTTCAAGTCTTTGTGCACACCGCTCTTTGAAGACACCGGCTCGTTGCCGACCATTGAAAACACGGATCTTTACACGCTTTAACGTAGTTCAAACGCCTTTTTCAGTTGACATAACCGCTCGCAGTGCAAAGCACTCAGCGTACTCAATTCGACAGAAAGTAAACGAGTTATTCATAATTTTGCTCTCTTTCCCCAGCTTCTATTGGTTTAGCCGAGAAAACTCGGAGACATTGTTGATTGTTGAAGACCTATACTCATGAGCAAGAAAGAGAGGGGGAGAATTGAGAAATCAGTTTTCGATAATTGTAAAGAAATCGGAGTACAGACGAATATACTCATTTGTAAGCTGCATAGTCCCATTCATATGATTTCGAGTTGTCCGAGCTTACACATGCCCCAATTTCAACACAGATGCCTGAATGAACACAAGAAATAGTGTTTTCTGATATATATTGTCGTCCTGGTGTATGATTGGTCGGTGTAGGTATATGATAGGACAAGCTTTCCATCAATTTCAAGTGCAAACTTTCGCAGCTTCGCAGCAAAATGATATTTGACACCAAGGAGATCGCACATGAGCATGGTGAAACTGAATTAAACCCAGAGTGATTATGAACTTTCTTAACCGAGTTCAGATATAAAAACAGCATTGCATCATTTAGGATTCCATTTTATTAAATGAAAATTGGCTCGTTATTGTTTTTTGTTTGATGAACGACATTAATAAGAGTGAACGTACGATTCATGGACAGTCTTTTGGTTGTTTCTTTTTGCGAAATGGGGGAAAAGACAATAAGAGTTGGTTTATAGTCCAATAGTACACGTTACTATCTTTCCACACACACACACACACCAAAAATGTGATACATTTTATTCAAAAAAATAATAATTGAGTCATGGTCATAAAAAGGAAAGAGAGAGAGAGAGAGAGAGAGAGTAAAATATAATTATTTGGGAATAAAAATAGTCTCTTTTAGTAAGCTTTGAATAATACAAACTTCATAGATCACACCATGCCCTGGACATGACAAAATAGAAAAGAAGAATAGCGGTTTGAGCGGAATAATACAAACTTCATAGAATCACACCGTGCCCTGGACATAACAAACTAGAAAAGAAGAAGAGCGGTTTGAATAATCGCTGTCTAAACTTGGCAAGCGAGACGGTTTGTGATGACCTAATAAGATTATCAATCGCTTTGTCAAATCAATAGAACAAACAGTGGTAGGAACAAGAGGCTTGGTACAGGCAATCTACCTTTAAACAGGATTAGAAGGTGATAGGAGAGGAAGAAGGAAAATCGAAGAGGAATAGGGCTTCTCTATGTCACGCGTCAAAAAGCCTTCATGCCGAACTTCCTATACCAGCACGCATGCACGGTGGTTTGAACGGCGAAAATCGATGCTAAAAATTGCCGAAGGTGCAGACGACGATAGCGTGGAAGATCACGATTACGATTATGAACGTGGTATCGAAATTTTAGATAGAATGTGTCCGTCAATAATATTTAAGATGATAATTACCATCACACATTTATCATTGTAAGGAACGTTTAATATTCATAACACAACAGAACAGATTTACATCAACAACAATTTATGAAGATGACAAAGTGAAAAAAATGAATTTAGAATCTTTTTACTGATTTAAAAATAAAGGAAGAAATTAAAACTAAATGAAAAATGTGTGAATAGAAATTTGTTTAAGAATGCCGTTTTGAATTGATTTTAGAAAACAGTTTATTATATAAACCTACCCAAAATATAGTGTGCTAGCTTTCCCACTTTTCTTTCTTTATATTTAAATGAAGTGAGTTATGTCATATAATATTTTAAGCCAATTCAAAACACAATGCTATCACTGGAGGTCGGTGAAATTCACCATCACTTCGAATCAAAGTGTACGCGAAGAAACATTTATAATTTAAAAAGGAAATCCACCACCTCGTCTCACCCGCTAGCTGTCTTAGCTCTTATTTTCCTTTTTCGTTGTTCGGCAGCAGCGCATAACCCCTTTGCGGAACTTCATTACAAGGTCCCCTAGGTACGGTTGCAAATAATTCAACTCACTGCGCTTCGACTGTCTTCTATGGGCCAGCTTCTGTTGGCTTTATGCACGCTTCATATCTTCTGCTTAAAAAGAGTAAGAAAGATAAAGAAGTTAAGGGATAAAGACACGTACGTACACATTCACACCATCCCGCCCACACTTGTAAGACCTTTGAAGTCATTTACCCCGTGGCTTTCTGATGCACAACAAAATAGGTTCATGACAAGTAGATTTATTTTGATGAAGACGTTTAAGGATCAACATAAAGAGGGCATTTTGAACTGACGTGTTTATGTCTGAATGTAAATAAATGAGAAAAGAATGTACATGTACATGTATATAGAAGACAATGCTTTGAATCTGCCGGCAGTTTTAAGATTTAAGATTATTACTCGTGAATGTGGTAGTAATGGGCCTTATCACCAGTGCTGCTTTAAAACACAACATAATTATGGTATAACAATAAAGCTTGACAACATGTTATCATAATCACGATTTCCCCCATATAAATCCCAAAGGCTCAGGAACTATTGAGTGTGCAAATGAAACCACTTTTACTTTAGGCACCATCCTGCATAATTATAAAAATAATACTATTGGTTAGTTCATTATTACTATTATATATCTTAATCTATCTAATATTAATATCGTAATGGTATATTTATATATCTAAGTATTTTTTATCGTAACACACTTTTGTCGTCACATTCCCTGTTTATCATTCAAAATTTGTCTCTATTTTTTCCAATCGTTTACCTACAGGAGTGCGAACGGAGCAGGATCTCTATGTGCGACTCATCGACTCTATGACGAAACAGGTAAGCATTCTATATTAATATCAATAAATAATCACAACAGCAAATGAGTTATTTTGGCATTTATAAAATCACTATCATTTACAAGCTTATACTTGTTTTGCCTGTGTATCATATTTACATCGAGCATTAGTGATCTTTTAATGAATATTTAGAAATAAAAAAATAGCTCGCGTCGACGATTTTCTTCTCAAAATCTACATCTTTTATCCAAAGTGATGTCGTCATTCCATTTCACGCCTAACTTTTCCTTTCCCATCTCCTCTGCCGACTACCCATTCTTCGTGCATTGAAAGTGGGGATCATTCACACGCCTCATCTCATTGTTAACTTCTATCCATCGATTAGATGGCACAAAGAGGAGGAAATTGGATTGAAGTCACTTAAAATGCCAGCGAAAGTGATCCTCCCTCACCACCTGTTTCATATTCCAAAGTTAATACCAACATCTTGTTGGAGTGGATGGCAGTTATGTGTCTGATCTGATGTATTGGTCAAACATGTCTCTGTATTGTGTTTTATTATCGTGGGGACATCGGGGAGAAGCTATATTGGAGGCTGGATTAGGATAATAGCAATTTGTCTCTTCTTTGTCTTAAAATGTCTGTTTTTTTTCTTCTTCAAACGGTCTTCATTAGTAGTTTATTGGCAATGATTGAAGGGATGCCTTGTAATAAATAATTATAGCGAACGAGAACATGTACATTTTCCTAATAACAATATTTTATTTTAATCTTGAAGCGCCTTGAAACGAACACCTTGCGAGTGGATATGAGCGCCAAAATAGAAGAAAACAAATCCGATATTTTCTAATTTGTAGATTGTCTTAAACACAGTTTTAAAGCAATAACGCGTCTTCAAATAAATAATCAAGAATAAATTGGCTATTTTCTTTATGTGAAAGGGGTCATTGATTAACGGGACCGTGTACTCATTTGTGTAACGGGAGGTTCAACGGCTCTGTCAGCTAAGTCACCGACTTAATTAGAAATGTAGCCGCCACGAAACATTACGATCCATTTATGCCGCGTGTTCATAGCGTTGGGGGGGGGGGGGGGGTGTAAAGGGCATATCAAATTCGATCAATTTTTAAGGTTCTGCTTTTCTGGTTTTAAAACAAACAGGTTGTAAAATGCTCTAACTTTAAGGAAAATTGTGGTCGGGCTAACTTGTTTGTTTGTTGTCGAGTTAAACGGATAAGCAACAGGTATAATTGATTTAATTTCGGCGGTGTGAAAATATCTTTGTTTGAGGATGTTAGTGATCTAGGGTATTGTTGGAATGGTGATACCATACATTTGGTGATGTGAATCGTCTTTTTGATTCTCTGACGTATTATACGCCTAATTCAACACGGTGAACGTGACATGCTGTGCACACCAGTCAGAATGAGACACGATTCACAATTAATACAAACAAAAAGAAAAGTGAATACGCTAAGCGAAACCTATGATTATTTTATGATTTGCAAAGTAATAATTTCCCTTTAAAATATTGACTATAGATGATATGAATATCATTGTATACATTGTTGACCAGCGTCGCGGCGCCCATGACACAACCGCTGTTTGTCTGTGCCTCATTCGATACAAGTATAGACAGATAAACAGCGAAGCCAAACTGACGAGAAAAAAGCATGAATATATGAATATGACATCGAAATCGCTTTCCACCAATTTCATTTTTATTCTGTCTATTTGTCAACTATCAGTTTATTTCGCATGCAATGGGAAGCTTTGTCTTTAGTCGTCACACTTTCTGACACGGTTTCTGTCTGTTCATTTCAATATACAGCTGGCTTATATCTTTACATGACGTTGTTCAGCATAAATACAATTGATTCATGTCACGACATGATTCCACAGAAACCTGAGTTAATTTCTCGGGATTCTGCAAACCATGGTTTAGAATTCGTTATTTCAAGAGTTTTCCGGACACCGCTAGAAGCTGTTATGCATCGAAACGTAGTATCCAATGCATTTGATATAGTTATTCATCCAGTAATTGGATTTTCAGGCTTTGATATACACGAAAACAAAATGCCAGAATTATGAACAAAAATAGAGGTAAAAATTGAATTTATACCCCCCAAAATCATATTGAATTGGAAGATTCCCACTTGAAGTTGATGCTGTATCTTTTACTCTTCCTGTTCATATGATATGGATCCTCCGAGTTTAACAGACCGGTATGAACAAAATTAATAAATGAAGAAGAACAGTGAAAGAGGACAACATTATAAAAAAGGAAAGACATTTAAAATAAAGAAAATCCGGAAGAACAAGCGAAAGTGTAGTTTACCTCTTTTGTATTTTTGTAGCTAAGAATGGGGTAAAGACGAGAATAGATCATTTCTTTTATCATGGTGATGGGCAACAAGAGAACTCGAGCTGTCCTTTCGCCGAGAAATCTTATCTGGGAAGAATTGGCGCGAAGAGCATCTCTGAGAGGTGCAGATCTGATAACACCCTCATTGAACCAATTGGAGGTGTTAAAATCGGCGATTATCGCCAGCTAGCCCGTCATCGAAACCGGTTTGGATTCAAAAGAGAAGGATATCGATGACGGGTAACGTGACCCGTGGCTTGAATATTCATGACATCGACGATGCGACGCACGATGGGTTAGGAAGATGCAAATGACGATGACGATGATGATGCTGGTGATGATGATGAAGAGAGGTGATGGTAATGGTGGTGGTGATGATGCGGATGGGAACGAACACCGGGCCATTACGAAACCGCGATAGATGGCAGCTGAAATAAAGGTGAAGGTTGTGGTAGTTGTAGTGGGGAAGGGGGGGGGGGGGTTGAAAGGGGAAGAGAAGTTGGGGTGGGGAGGGTGGGGGCAGTGGTATAGCAATGACTAGCAAACGATGGGATGATAGTTGTATTATGGGTAGAGGCTGCGGCGGTAGTATGAGCGAGGGGAGGGGCGGGTTGTAAGCGGAACAACATGCATGACTATAACGTACGCTATGGATTAAGAACAGATACCAATTCAGTTTACAAGACTACCATGCTGATATACATCCTCATAGCGTATATCACATGACGTATATATATATTGAGTTCAAAATACATATCATGCCCGTTTTATCCCACCTCACGATGTCTACCCCTTCCTCCTCGCTTCCCCATCCTGACCCAGTGGTTGCTCTCCTGCTCTTACCATCATCCCTCCAACATCCAAAGTAACTCAAGAAGATGTATGCGGATGGCATCTTTACCTTGTGGGGATGCGGTGTAACCATTGGTAACTGTATCATCTTAGTAGGATCAACCTGTTTGGAGACGCTGGGATGACCGAGTCAATAGAAGCTTTGTTTAGTCTGGATCTCAGACACGACTGTTTATTTTTCTCTCTGCTTTGGCCATTGCTGTTAATCAAGTCAAACGCAAACACCTTGTTGTTATGATTAAAAGGTGTCTTAAAAATGGTGTCACTTTAAATTTTACGACATAAAAAGTAGTGGCAAGAATATTGGCTAGTTGTGCAGAGAGCAGGGAGAGGAGAAAACGAACAGATCAAGGAGATATCACAACGAGCTCTTCTTGGACAGATGAACGATATATGGTGGATTGAGAAGAAGGAATACAAGGAAGGACAAAAATTCAATAGTTTGCCGTGGACGACTCTTTCTAAACATTCGAATACGGTGATTTATTAATTTAACATGATCGAAGGGCAACTATTTATGTTTAGAAATATATTTATTGATATAAAAGTAACGCTTTCGTTGTTCGGAATAACGAAAGCGAAAATTATTATTCCCGATTTTTCTCTCAATTGTACTGTTTATGCGTATCAATGGATTTGTGAGGATATTCGTGTTATCCTTTGACGATTTTATTCAGAATCTCCTATTTAAACCCCTACCCAGGGATTTTGGGACCTTACCTTCTATCTACTGCACCTATCCAGCTTGTTATTTATGGAGAGCAAGTCATTCGGGATCTCACGTTTAAGGGTAACACCATGCCTCTGAGAAATTCATTGCCATCGATCCAAGGCTTGAATATCATACAAACGATCCACTTCAATTTGCGCCGAGCCTTCCTCCTTCTAACTGTCCGTCATTTTGAAAATTTCTATCCCCATAAAATCATATCGATCTAGACAATACCTTGAATATATTATAAGACTTGGATTGGGTGAGGAGAAGAAAGAGGCGCAGTTAATAGTTGTACCAGTTTGTATAAAAAACTTAAATGTGAACATCTTTTATTCATGAAAAAGTATTGACGTCATGCAAACCGACCAGTTAAAGGTACTGTTTTTTCTTCTTTATATTTGAGAGTAACGTGAAGTGATGACGCTGAAATTCGTGTTAAAACAGACAAGAAAAACGCCAGATGATAAACTTTTTCGAAATTAATTTTCTTAATAATTACGGAATTATTTCTACTACCACTTTCCGAACGGACATAAAGAATTGAAAGAGGCTAAAACCCCCATTTGCTTCAAACCTCAAATTAAAAAAAATATATATGATCTAGACATGTGCAAAATTCAACCACTTGAGAAAGCTTCCAAAAAGTGATAAAGCATATTTAACAAAATATTAGCAAATGAAGTATTGTCTGAATAAAGCGAGCAATGAGATGCTATACGTTGTTGCCATGACCGTCTAAGCATTTGGTTTGTGCGAAATAATTTTAGAATATGTATCAGCCTCTTATATCCCAACGGAGAGCGAGAGAGTTAAGTTGTCTTGTAAAGGGCATACATCATGAATTGGATGCCTCTCATTTCATGAGCGCAGTAACAGCATCATCACTATCATCAGCAGCAGCAGCAGCGGTAGAGAGAGTTTGTGAGGCTGAGAGCGGGGGAGCGCATCGGCATGGTTAACGAGTGATGAATGGCTTGGCGGTGACGGGCCCGTGCACGCACTGGCGCGCACGACTCACACCTGTTAGCGAGTCCCATCATTTTTTGGCGCCGTTATTTTTCAAGCAGCAGACGACATGTACTCGTTCAGTTTTATTGCTTCATAGCTG